GCCTAGGCTGGAGTGCAGTGGTATGATCATGGCTCACTGCAGCCTCAACCTCCTGGGCACAAGTGATCTTCCCTCTTCAGCCTCCTGAGTAGCTGGGACTATACATACCCACCACCAAGCCTGGGTAATTTTTAAATTTTTTGTAAAGATGGTGTCTTACTATGTTGCCCAGGCTGGTTTCAAACTCCTGAGCTCAAGTAATCCTCCTGCATCAGCCTCCCGAAGTGCTGGGATTACAGGTGTGAGCCACTGCACCCGGCCTATACACACTTTTTTTTTTTTTTTTCTTTGAGATGGACTCTTGCTCTGTTGTCAGGCTGGAGTGCAGTGGTGCGATCTCAGCTCACTGCAATCTCTGCCTCCCAGGTTCAAATGATTCGCCTGCCTCAGCCACCTGAGTAGCTGGGACTACAGGCGCTTGCCACCACGCCCAGCTAATTTTTGTGTTTTGAGTAGAGACGGAGTTTCACCATGTTGGCCAGGATGGTCTTGATCTCTTGACCTTGTGATCTGCCTGCCTCGGCCTCCCAAAGTGCTGGGATTACAGGCATGAGCCACCGCCATGCCTATAATTTATAGGCCAGGCCTATAAATGCACTTTTTAAAAACTTCAAATGATATCAAAATTCTCCCATCCAAATGATCCATAAACAATAACAAAGTCCTCTACAATTATAAATGTTCATTGTTGAAAGATTACCTTGCCAGCTAGTATTTATCTTTTGGATATATATCTTTTGACATATATGTATTTATTTATTTGTATACTTGTGTATATATTTATTCAACAAAAATGGGATTGTGCTCTTCCTAACCCTTTTAAAAATTTAATACGGTGTGAACGTTCTTCCTTGTTAGAAAACACAATTGCATCACTGGATTTTTCCAGTCTTGCTATTATAAATAATACAATGATGATCTTGTGTATATAATTATTATTGTTTTTTTGGAGACAGAGTTTCGCTCTGTCACCCAGGCTGGAGTGCAGTGGTGCGATCTTGGCTCACTGCAGCCTCCGCCTTCTGGGTTCGAGCAATTCTTGTGCTTCTGAATAGCTGGGACCACAGGCCCGCGGCACCATGCCTGGCTAATTTTATATTTTTAGTAGACATGGGGTTTTGCCACGTTGCCAAGCTGGTCTCGAACTCCTGGCCTCAAGTGATCCACCCACCTCCGCCTCCCAAAGTGCTAGGATTATAGGTGTGAGCCACTGCGCCCAGCCTGTGCGTATATAATTTTGATTTTCTAAGTATTCCTTAGTTCATAGAGTATGCATATTTTAAAAGCTCTGAGCAGAGTTGCTGTTCAGAAAGGCTGGGTCAGTGTCTGTCTTCCTAGTAACAGGGCAGAAGTCAGCCTGTCCTACCACACTCTCCTACTGCACTCTAGCCAGTGTTAGTAACGTGCTTCTGGTCACACTTTCACATGAAGGCTATTAGGAGCTACTGACAAAGTTTAAGTAGACAAATCACATAACCACATTTGCATTTTTGATTCCAGCTTCAGGGCCTAATAGCTCTATTAGTCTTATATGGCCCCTAGGAGGCATTCAAGATAATGGTGACACTAAGCAAAGCGGGGGCAAGTTGAGGTAGAGAGTCTGAACAAGCAGGTCTCTAACCTGCAGCTATGGAGAAGAAATTCAGTGTTTCCTGTGGCAGGTGGAGGGAATACTTACCCAGCAGAGCATGCGAGACTCTTCGATATGCACCTTCATGTATTATCTTGTTCAGTTCTCTGAGGTTGGGATCGTTGTTATCTCCCATTTTGCAGGTGGGAGAATTGAGGCAGAGAAAGGTTCAGCACCTTGCCTTTGGTTACACAGCTGGTCATTCTGGCTTCAATCACAGGGCTACCAGCCTGTGCTCTTCACCACTGAGCTTCCCTGCCTCAGGCCACTTCCCCGGACCATTAGCTGGATTCTGAGAGTAGTTTCCAAGCCAGAGCTTTCAGAGTGCTTTTGTTTGTAGGACAATTTTAAGACAGTGGGTTCTTGAATCTTTTGTGTTTTTTTAAGTCTCAGATTTATCTTCCTATTTCCTACTTCTCCAAAAAGACTGAGAGCTGACATATTTGATTGTAAGCTCTTTGGGGCAGAGCCCTTGTAATCGTCTCTGTATAAAACAGTGCCCACCCCAGTGACTGGTACTTGGATGCTTCAGTCAACAGCTGTGCTGTTAAATAGGGCAAGTTTTTCCTAGACCCGCATTCTGATAAAAGAAAAATCAAATGAATTATGATTGAACCAATTCAACACACACTGTTGCATTTTATGTATGTGTTTTTGGTGACCTTACTTTGGAAACAATGTAAAAGTCACATCTGTGGAGTGTTTTTAGAGCACTTTTACATTCATTTATGATAATAGGGACCTGCCCAGGCACTGGGCTAGGTGTTCCACATATACTGTGTCATTATGTAAATTGTGATTCACAAGAACTTGAGAAGCTAGCAGGGTAGCTATTATTATCCTTGGGGTGGTTTGTTTTTGGTTCTTTGGGTTTTTTCCCAGGGGAAGAAGCTGGAGTTTGGACAGCCCCTGGCCTACATGGGCTCCCTTTTGCAGAGGCTGCTCCAGCGGGGATCTCCTTGAGCTCAGGCAAATAAGCCAGTGCCAGGCCAGGTCCCCTGCACACCTTTGTCTATTTTCCCCTTTGTTCCTTGGATCTGAAAACCCTTCAAGGCTTCAGAGGAAGCTCAGTGAGTTGATTCTCATGTACCGGGAGAAGAGAATGTAGAGGCGGCGGAACCAGAGGAGCTGGCTGCGGTGGCAGGACATGGCTCTCTAGAAGAATCAAAGAGAATCAGTTATGAAACACTTGCACTGGAGCTGTTTCATTACTTTCAGATCTGGCCTCCTCACCTTAAATCCTTCCTCGCACCAATATGCTTCATGCTATAGCCTTATCTGTCTTCTTCCTGTAACCCACGAACCTCTCTGGATTGGCCCCCTATCATGGCCCCTGCTTTCGCATCTCCTACTTCCTCCCTGTGATTATAACACACAATGCTCACGGTAGCTACAACACTCACTATGGGATGCCAGAAAACTGGCAAAACAGTCCACATGCATCATCTCAATGTTAACAACCCTGTGAATCAAGTACTGTTATTACTGTTTTTTAAAAAAATAAATAGATGAGGAAACTCATCAGTCTCAAACAGCTAGTAGGTAGTAGAGCTGGCTGAGATTTTAACCCAGAGCCATCTGATTGACTCTACAGTCCACATTCTTTTTTTTCTTTTTTTTTACTTTTTTCCTTTTTTTTTTTTTTTGAGATGGAGCCTCGCCCTGTCGCCCGGTCTGGAGTGCGGTGGCGCAATCTTGGCTCACTACAAACTCTGTCTCCCAGGTTCACGCCATTCTCCTGCCTCAGCCTCCCGAGTATCTGGGACTATAGGCACTCGCCACCACACCCAGCTAATTTTTTGTATTTTTAGTAGAGACAGGGTTTCACTGCGTTAGCCAGGATGGTCTCCTGACCTTGTGATCTGCCCGCCTCGGCCTCCCAAAGTGCTGGGATTACAAGCCTGAGCCACCACGCCTGGCCGTTTACAGTCCACATTCTTAATCATGTTGCTACTACCTCAAATGTACAACACAGACGGGGATGTTTCATAGGAAGCAACCTAGTACATGCTAGTACACTATGCCCAAATTCCTCTGAGTTAGGTCATTTCGGAGGTACAATCACTGTCAGAAGAAGAAAACAAGGAATGGCACACAGGCGTGAGTTGTCGTTCCCACCTTCTAGGGGAAATGTACATTATCTTGTTATTCAGACCTAGTATAGTTCGGTTTTTAAACAGAATAGATTACAGCAACTGACTTCACTAGATATACATAAAAGGATGTGCCTGTTTATCTCTGAGTACCATAATTAACTTGCCTCTCTAAGCTAATATCTTCACAAACTTTTATGTAAAGAACCCCTTTTATATTCATTGTCAGACTCTACATGACTTGCCAGGTGCAGTGGCTCACACCTGTAACCCCAGCACTTTGGGAGGCCAAAGTAGGCGGATCACCTGAGGTCAGGAGTTCGAGACCAGCCTGAC